TGAGGTTTCCTCTTTATAAGCACATCAAAAATTCCTCATTAAAATGACATAAAATTAGGATTCAGACCAAATATTTTTGTGTTATTATCGTAACCAACAAGTCATATATATGGATTTAATTATGATATCAGAATGATCCAGGTATCAAAATATAGCTTTTAAAACCAGGAATCTGGAAATGTAATTAGATCATTTTGACCAAATTTGACTTAATCCTCATTTCGATATGATGGGTCAGAAATGATTATTTATACAATAACTTTTACTTCAAACTATAACTAGTCAACCTTCATCCAAGGGAGCTGCATTCTGAAAGCTGCACGTTAAACTGAACCCCTGGAGTTGGGACAGATTTAGTGTTGTATTCTGGTTCCAGCTCATATTTGTGTTTTAATTGCAGCCGTGCTGACGCTGTATTTCCTCAACTACCTGGAATGGGACAAAGATCTTTCCACTGCCGTCTATCACGCCTTCAGCGGCCTGTGCTACTTTACACCCATCCTGGGAGCCCTCATCGCCGACTCCTGGCTCGGGAAGTTCAAGTGAGTGGACGTGAGCTAGAATATGATTCTGCCCACATGGAAGGAGGTGTGAGGTGTAAGGACCGGTGTGGATCCCTCTGACCACACATGTGTCAGGTCAGCATGACTCTGCAGCACTGAGTGACTGTTTGCTCCCAACAGGACCATCATCTACCTGTCTTTTGTTTACGTCATCGGCCATGTGGTCAAATCAGTGGGAGCCATTCCCACTGTGGGCAACAAGGATTCACACATGTAAGTTAATCCCTGCAGCTTGTACGTTTTATTTGTATTGTTTTGTGAATTATGTTTTGTCTGAATATATTCTGGGGATAAAAGGGCCAGGCATTATAACATTTATTCTTCTTCTGCTACTGTAATAATATTTCGTGTTCGTTAACTGAAATCGTGACGAAACCATATGAATGTTAAATAGATAAAAATGTGAAGAGAATGGACCATACAAATCCAGATCTGGTTCTGAGCAAAGCTTTTATTGCTTACGGCTGAAGCCAGCAAAGCAGCGCTGTT